AAACCCATTTACACAGTAACAAATTAAAACCTTTAGATAAATCAAACATTACCGCCACATATCTGACTCTATAACCATTAAAACAACTATTTTCATTAATTTCAGACGGAACTATTTACAGACTGGATTATATTAAACTGAACTTCCAATATTCACCACTGTTCGGGGCCAAGTAACATTTCCTTTGATCATGGAGCAAATCCCAATGATGACACATTATTTCTTTCATTGTGCTATTTATTCATTACAGGAAAAAAAAAAAAAAAAAAAAGAAGAGAAAATGGTGTGGTCAAATGTTCTTTTATCTTTTAGACAGATTTAACCATTTTGTGCATCAGCCTCCAAAAGCTGTAGACTCATGGCACAGCTGCCTCTTAGCCTGACAATCAAATCTCTTTGATTAGAATAACTTCTCAGATGATGGGCTCCTCAGTCCTTTCAACTCGTGAATCTTTGCAAGGTTAACCCCAACAGTTGGCTCTGACCAGCTCTGGCTGCACACCGCTCCCTGAGGATGAACGTACCAGATGCCACAGCAGCTCACTGGTTACACAACCAGGGAAATTATGAGGGTACCTGACGTGGGTGTGTAATTTCATTCGGGTAATAAAATCCTCCAATAAAGCTTTAATTTCAACAGACACATTAAGACATGAGAGGATGGTGAGATTATGAAAAACCTTTGTAACTAAATTAAATCCCTCTTAGACCATGAAAAACTTTTGTGCACGTCATATTTTAGTTAAAGAGGAAATGCCCTCAGGTTAGTATGGTGACAAATCAATGCTGCCAACCAGCGGATCTCTTCTGTCAGCTTTTATTAAAAAATCTTCCAGACGCAGCTCAAAGCAGCTGTAAGTGATGCTAAATAGATAAAGACAAGTCCAGGGGAGAAAGAATCCTAGAAGCTGATCCTTGCTGATGATTTTTGTCATGGGGATAATTTTTTATTGAATACAGGGTCCTACCAAAAGCTTCCCAACAAAGTGGGCAGAATTGATCCTAAACAACGATGCAGAGGGATTTTTTTCATATTTTGTTTTCACATTAGACAAAACTGAATGTGTTTTATTGTATTTATAGACAACAGGCCAATGTTTGAACACATGATTCGATCTAATCTTTTCATTGCCGGTGAAGATTCTCAGTCATCCAAGTTATAGTTATTCCAAAAAAGTAAAAAAAAATAATAATCTTCTGGACTTTGTTTTCCAAGTATGAAGACATTTAGCTTCCCATTGTGGAGTTTCTAAAGAGCTGCCTATGGCTCCAGAGCCACAGGTTGCAGGCTGCTGTGTTTGAAGGCTTGATGAATAGATGAAATTTCACCTTCAAGCCTGGAAATTACCATTAACATACACCAAAAACTACAATGAAAAGATTCCAAAAGAGTTAAAAAACAAAAAAACAAAAAAAAAAACACTAGACTAGCCAAGTTTAAAGATGTTTTGATTCCCATCAAGGAAGCTTTTTTTAATTCAAAATGTCAGACTTTTTGTTGAGTTCCAACCTTTATAGGGTAGCCAAACAAAGCTTTGTTATGGCTTAGAAAACATACAAATTGAACCTCATTGCCAGGCAGGGGACCAAGATACCTCGCCTGTTCAGCCAAGCAAACAATGCCCCTGATGATTCCCCCCCTTTCAGAGGCATAGACTAGTATCGGATCGCAGGCTACCCAAGCCCTCAACGACCCCCATTCCTAAAGGGTGGACCTGTTCTTCCGCTTAAATTTGCATAAATACAAAACAGGACCACATAAAAAAAAAAAAACATGATTGATCTATATAGAGGTTTGTGAGAAGCTTTTAAAAAAGCTGTTTCAATTTAGCCATTACGAGGTCAATTTAACCATTGACCTCCTGCCAGCTCCACATCTGCCCGGTGTTCGAACTCCCCGGTTAGCCTCCAGAGTTAGAACCAGCCACCTCCCACCTTTGCCAAGCTCTGGCTAATATCTATAACCAGTCCTAAAGCAAGATAGAGTTCGAGGACCCTACCCAACTCTGGAGCAAAGGGGGCTGACAGTAGGAGATGTAGCAAGGTCTGATTGGCTAGTGATAAATGTATTGTCTATGTTGTATACGTTCTTGTGAATGGCTAAAACAATGAAGAATTTATTGCAAATGAAAGACTATTTAAAAAAAAATACATTTGTGCATTGAGTCATGTTAATTAAGTGAAAAAGATCCACACAAAAACTGCAGTAAGTTCAAAGACAATGGTATTTTATAAGTCAAGAAATAATTAGATAATAATTAAGTGTATGCATTACATCTACTTTTGTAATCTTGTCTTGTGAATGTATACATTTTAATTGTGCTTCTTTGAATAATGTGCATGTTTGGATCTTAACCTGTGCTTATGTGGATCTTATCCTGTGCATGTGTGGATCTTATTCCTATTTAGGATTTTACCTAATAATTATTTTGCTAATTGATTAACATTTGTTTATTTTTCTGGATTTATTTATTAATAATTGCATAACTAAAAGGTTCCTTAAAAAGATTTTATGGAGAATTTAAAGTAGGTGGCGCTTTCCTGACAGAGAATAGTAAAAGAAAAACAAGTTTTTAATCTTGAATAGAATGTTTTTTGTTTTCTTTTTAGCAATTTTGGTATAATTACTGCTCTGAGTGAGTTTCACTTCAGCTAATTGTATGTTTAAGAGTCTTTTTAGTCCAGTTGATAATTAGTCGATTACTAAATTAGCTAACTATTATTTCAATAATTGATTAATGAGGATTCATCTGATTAAGTGTTTCAGCCGTCAAACTAATAGGTCCATTTTAGGTCTAATCTGACCACAGCAGCTTTTTTTTAGGCCTCTAGGCTCCTTCTCTGATCAATCCTCCCTAGTTTAAGGGGCAGGCCATGTGTTGGTAAAACTTCAGTTTTATCAACGCTTTCAGATGATGAACTGAGCAGAGCTTCATATGATGGTGTAGCTAGATGTTGGGTTAAAACCTAACCCCTTCCTAAATATCTCCACATATTTTCTTTTTATTTTACTTTGTTTAATCCTCTTAAACATCGGTCTATGCTTAGTTTATGTTTTGTGACCTTGTAAAAACTTCTTTGTTCAGGTTCTGAAATTCATTATTATCTAATTGAAAGTGTTCTGAATGGATGATTGCAGGTGGTTATAAATGAATCCCTATGGTGATGAATAAAGTTGTTTTCAAATTAAATTAAATAAAGCCCCATAATTGACAATAAAACCCGTGATTGAAAAGTAAAAAAGCTGAAAAAATGTTAGAAAATACAGTATATGCTGTAAACTGGCACCTTCTCTCTCAATAATGGCTCAAATTCAAATGCAAAACTTATCAAAGTTGTTTAATAAGAATAGCTAAAATACCAAATGAGCATAACAACACAATATCACACTTTTTGTGATTGTTAAGCATAGATCTAAAAATCCAGAGGGTTTTTGTTTTGTGTCAGTACCTGCAAGAGTGAAATAAACTCCTTGAACACTCATACTCTTTTAGAACAGGTGCCACATGTCTGCAACAAACCAACCCGTTAGCTTCCATTAAAAACAAAACAAAAAGCCCCTGATAAATAGAAACTCCTCACCAAGTCGTAGAGGAAATGCACTCTCCCCCTGCAAACAGATGGGAATTACCTTACCTGGCTTCCTCTGAAGGAGAACAGAGGGGGGCCCTCTTTTTGTTCTCTCTCTGCTTTCTAGAATCGGCAGCAGCGTATAAAAAGCTGCTTTTATCTCCAAAAGGTGTTCCCAGAGAGGAGGAGAAGGCGCTCCGATCGGCTGTCTGTGGGAGAGCAGGAGGTGTATCAGCTGAGGCTGATGAGGAGAGCGCCCTGCAGAGGCCTTAGCGGACACAAGAGGGCGCTGCTGCCCAACAAATAACACAATCCTGTTCCATAGAGTAGCGTCCCGGAAAAAATTATAAAACTGGGGGATAATCAGAGGTGGGTAGAGTACCCTCAAGTTTTACTCAAGTAAGAGTTAAACTACTTTTTTTTTTCTTTACTCATATAATAGTAAACAGTTTCCACTCAAGAAAAACTATTTAAAGTGAAAAGATATTTGGTAAAATGGCTACTGAAGTTCTTCTTCTAAAACAAAAAGAAGACTATTCACGTTCTATGTAACTCATGATAACATCTGTTATTTATTATTAGGTAAAAATATAATATTAAAGTAAATTATTTTTACCTTAATTGTAAAATATCTAGTAAAATATTTTAAACAAACAAATAAGGTAACTGGAAAAATAACAATTTGAGGCAGAAAAATCACTTCTCCAAACCAATCTTCCCTAGTGACAATATTTAGTCCTTACTGTATATTATTTTGACATCCAAATGCCATAGTAGTCAGTTAGTAGCTTCAGGTAAATTAATGTACAAAAGAAAGCACAAATTTTTACATAAACCATATCTGTGTCTGTTGTGACTCAAGTTAGATGGAGTAGTTAAGCCTTTTACTGAAATAAGAGTGTGATAACGTGGCTAATTATGAAAAATCCACGTCCAGCCGAAGCATGTCCTTTTTTTAGGTGTCTTTATTGCACACTCTCACAGAACCATACAACAAACTTTTTCTGCCTCTGTATACATATCTTAGCTCGCCCCTAACTAACATGGGAATACAATCCCTCTTGTGGCGTGGGGGTAGTACTGCATATTATAACTAACTCAGGATACTACATCCCTCCCCTCTTAAGTTTAAAGTACTCTTTAAATCTATTAACTATGTCACCTTCACATTAACCTTACTTTTGCTTAACAGTGAAACTACATAGATACTCAATCTTAACACAACCTAGGACTTTTTTAAATAACTCAACCATATTACTCTACTCCTTTCAAGATTAAAGGTCAAATGCCAACAATCAAACCAAATAACTCTCATGACAATATTTGTATACATTTTTTTTTTTTTTTAACTAGGAAGGTTGGGTAAACTGCCAAACCTTCCCATGCATGTCCCAGAGCATGTTCTGACTCTTTCTTGAAGGATATGAATTCTAATTAACAAAGTCTCTCAGATAAGCAGGAGCCTGTCTGGTGCGTGCAGATCTTCGCAGCACAGGTGTCTTTTGGGCTTCTGTCCCTAGCAAAAGTTCAGCTGGAGGATGAACCTGGGTTGACTCAGCAGGCTCCTCAGTCATTTCCCCTCCCACTGAAGTTGGAACACCCGGGTCTGCAGGCACGACCTCCACTGCCTGCTCTGGCAACTGCAGGCTGACAGGCTCTCCTTCCACCTCATGACTGGACATCTCGTTTGATGATGCTTGACGCTTACGAATCTGGTCGACGTGACGTCTCATCACACGTCCATCTCCAGCCTGCACTGTATAGGATACGGGTCCAGTGTTCTCATCCACTACTGCCGGTATCCACTTTGGTCCATAGCTGTAGTTACGGACATATACATCATCTCCAGGTGCAAAACTTCTCCACTTACTGTGTGTGTCGTGATGTTCTTTTTGTTTGAGTTGTTTCTTACGAATCTTTGACTTCACATCTGGCAGCAAAAGATCCAGTGTAGAACGCAGTCTTCTGGACATGAGCATTTCAGCGGGTGACAAGCCAGTCGTACTTTGTGGTGTAATTCTGTAGTTGAACAGAAACCTGGCTATTTTTGTTTCCAGTGTATCTCCTTTTGTTTTCTTAATTCCCTGTTTGAATGTCTGAACAGCTCTTTCCGCTAGTCCGTTCGATGCGGGGTGGAAAGGTGCGGATGTTTTATGCTGTATTCCATTCTGCTTCAGGAATGTTGCAAACTCTTGACTGGTAAAGCATGTTCCATTGTCAGATACTATTGTCTGGGGAAGACCATGTATGCTAAAGCACTGTCTCAGCTTTTCAATAGTCACCTGACTTGTTGCAGTGTTTGTTGGGTATGCATCAATCCATTTAGAATGTGCATCCACTATTATCAGGAACATCTTTCCAAGGTAAGGACCTGCATAATCAATATGCAGCCTGCTCCAGGGTGTTTCTGGCCACTCCCATGGATGAAGTGGCGCCCCTGCAGGACACTTCCTATTTTCTTGGCATGTGTGGCAGGACTGAACTTCCTTCTCGACATCAGAATCCATTCCTGGCCACCACACATATGAGCGTGCTAAACCTTTCATCCTGGACATCCCTGGGTGCGTGGCGTGCAGCTGTTTCAGTATGACGCTCCTTCCTTTCTTCGGAACGACCACTCTTGACCCCCAGAGGACACATCCATCTTTCACACTCAATTCTAGTTTCTTTTTAGAGTAGGGTTTGAACACTGTGTCCACTTCTTTTGGCCAACCTTTCATGCACCAGAGTAACACTTGCGACAGTGTTTCGTCTTTGGCTGTCCACTGCTTCACCTGAACTGATGTGATAGGCGGATCTTCCATCAGATCCAGCATAAGGACTTGTGCTGTCTCTTCTTCTTCTTCAGTATGTGGCAGCGGCAACCTGCTCAGTGCGTCTGCATTTGCATGCTCTTTTCCTGGTTTGTAAATTATTTTGTACTCGTATGCCCGGAGTAGGGTTGCCCATCTTTGCACTCTTGGTGAACACATCTGAGGAACGGGCTTCTTCTCATGGAAAAGTGAGATCAGTGGTTTGTGGTCCGTGCTGATCGTAAACATTCGACCATAGATGTATTTATGGAATCTCTTTATTCCAAACATGATAGCTAAGCCCTCTTTATCCAGTTGTGAGTATCTCTTCTCGGCTGGTGTTAGCGTGCGGGACATGAAACCTAAGGGTTTTTCACTGCCATCTTCCATGATATGGGACAATACGGCACCCACTCCGTATGGTGAGGCGTCACACGCCAGTACCAACTCTCTATCCGCTGAGTAGTGACTCAGGACTTTAGCTGATTTCAGCATCTGTTTTGACAGTCGAAAAGCATCTTCCTGCTCCTTATTCCAGGCCCACTGGGCCCCTTTTCTCAGCAACTGGTGGAGAGGAGCTAAACGTGTAGCTAGGTTAGGGAGAAACTTGTTATAGTAGTTCAATAGACCAAGATAAGCCTTCAACTCGGTCACGGTGGTCGGCTGTGGAGCCTCTTCAATGGCTTCTATCTTGCTTTGCACTGGGTGCAGACCTTCTGCATTAATAATGTGACCCAAGTACTCCACCTCATTTCTCAGAAATGCACACTTGCGTCTGTGAAGGCGCAAGCCTGCTTCTTTCAGTCTCCTCAGTACCTCGTCCAGCGTACTTAGATGCTCAGCTTCATCTTCCCCTGTCAAAAGTATGTCATCTAAATACACTGCTACCCTAGGCAGACCCTGTAGCAAGCTTTCCATGGTTCTCTGGAAAATTGCTGGAGCAGATGACACTCCGAAGGCAAGCCTATTGTAGGTAAACAGGCCACGATGTGTGTTAATTGTTAAGTATTTCTTGGACTCTTCATCCATTACAATCTGCTGATAAGCATGACTTAAATCTAGCTTTGAAAACTGTTTCCCTCCTGCTAGACTATTAAACAAATCTTCCACTCGGGGAATGGTGTACTGCTCTAGAGATGAAGCGCTGTTGACTGTTAATTTATAATCGCCACAGATCCTGACAGAACCATCCGGCTTCAGGACAGGTACGATGGGTGCAGCCCACTCAGCATACTTTACTGGTGTTATGATGCTCTCTCTCTGCAGTCTCTCAAGCTCCTCTTCAACTTTTGCTCTCATGGCATACGGAACTGAGCGGGGTCTGTAGAACTTGGGACAAGCTTCAGCTGACACTCGAATGGTTGCTTTCATGCCTTTTAACATGCCTAACTCTTCTTTAAAAACATCTTCATGTTTTGAAAGTACCTGCTGTAGCCCTTGTGTCTCTGCTCTCACATGTTTTATTTCATCCCACTTAAGCTTCAGTGTCTCCAGCCATACTCTTCCCAGCAAACTAGTTCCAGTACCCTTCACCACCACTAGGGGTAACGTCTTCACTTGCTGGCCATAGATTACTTCCACATCTGCTACTCCCACAATTTTAATTTTCTCCCCTGTATAGGATCTCAGTGTGAGCTTAGTTTCTTTGAGCTGTGGCTGCTTGTTCTCTTCCCACATTTCATTAAATGTTGTCTCATTCATAACACTCACACTACATCCAGTGTCAATCTCAAAGTTCACTTTCTTCCTATTCACTTCCATCTTTACTTCAAATGGCTTAATTCTCCTTATTTAGGTTTCTGTTTTAATGCAAGCTAACGTGAAGGCTTCTTCTTGCTCTGATGAACTATCATCCTGCCCCTCACACACCTTGTGTGCTTTCTGTGGACACGCGCGCCGCTCCTCTCTGTTTGGTTTCCTTTCATCTGGCCGCGAGCTCCCTTTATTTTTATTTCGGCAGGCTTTGGCGATGTGTCCTACTTTTCCACAGGCGTGACACTTTGCTTCTTTAAACTTGCACTCGGCTGCACTGTGTTGCTTTCCGTGGCATCTGTAGCACTCTTTCTTTTTCCAGTCTCCCTTCCTCTCCTTTCCCTCCGTCTTAATGCTGTTACAAGCTAACGGAGCTTTATTTTGAAGGTCCTGCACATTCCTACTGGCGGCTTCGGCTGCTACGGCAATTTGAAATGCCTTCTCAAATGTTAAATCGGTTTCAGATAACAAACGTCTTTGAATCCTATCATCATTGATGCCACAAACGAGGCGGTCTCTTAACATTTGCTCCAGTGTCGTGCCGAAGTTACAATCCTGAGCGAGTCGTCTCAGCTCAGCTACGTATACACTCACAGTTTCACTAGGCTGACGGGCACGAGAGTCGAATTTGTATCTCTGCACGATCTCGCTTGGTTTGGGATTGAAGTGGTCTTTCATGATAGTCACTATTTGGTTATATGTTTTCGTGCTGGGCTTATCTGGACTCACCAGGTTCCTTATGAGCTTGTATGTGGCTGGTCCCACCACGCTAATGAGGATAGCTCGTTGCTTATCTCCATCATCAATATCATTAGCAACGAAGAACTGATCCAGAATCTCGCAGTACTCTTCCCAAGTCTGCTCCTTCGAGTCAAATGCTGACAGATTTCCTACCGTCATATTCATCTTCGTTTTATATGTGCTCTTGTCCTGCGTCCGCCCGGTCTTTTTTTTTTTTTTTTAGCACCGCTTCGTCTTCAGTCCACCACTCTTTTCAATCCTCCGTCAACTTCCCAGAATTATCCTCGTCGCCAATATGTGATAACGTGGCTAATTATGAAAAATCCACGTCCAGCCGAAGCATGTCCTTTTTTTAGGTGTCTTTATTGCACACTCTCACAGAACCATACAACAAACTTTTTCTGCCTCTGTATACATATCTTAGCTCGCCCCTAACTAACATGGGAATACAATCCCTCTTGTGGCGTGGGGGTAGTACTGCATATTATAACTAACTCAGGATACTACAAAGAGCATCAATTTTTATTTTCATTTAGATATTACTGAAATAAAAGTAAAAATTATGGTGCAGTCAAATTACTAAGAGTATATTTGTGTTATATGTTTTGTTATATTTTTGTATATCTTTGTTTTCTTAGTCCTACTGACTAAGAAAAGCAGTTTCTCTAACCTCCACTCACTATGTAACTTATACAGTGTTTACAAACTTTACAAAGACGGTAAATTTCCAAAGAGTTATCGTGATGAACTGTGAAAAACTGGAGCAAAGAAGAGGTATTTACTCATAAAAATATATTTACTGGGGAAGAATCATAGGAGGAGCATTTGAGGCACAGGGATTTCAGAGCAGAGTTTTCAAACTCGGTCCTCAGGACCAGCGTTGCGACAAGTGTTGAATTGATACTACGTACAGTTACTAGATACTTCATACAAAAAGGGAGTACATTTTCAGTTACTGTTCTAATACATTTTTTTGGAAAATACATTGATTTATGCTCTTATATTAATGTGGATGCTGTACAAAATAAAAATGCAACAAATGAGAGATTGGTGGTGATTGTCCCATTTTTGACAATAAAGCTTCAGTTAATAAAGCAAATCATATTTGTATCTATTTTATATTGTTCAATAGAATAATTAATGATCACTAAATGAAAATAAAAAGAATGAAACATAATTTGAAAAACTGAAATGTAAAAAATTTTATTGAAAAACAAAAAACCCCATAAAAAAAGTTATAAAAATCTGAGATGACTGAGATTTGTATTCCTTATAATGAAATTTCCATTTACAAAACGCGTTCTTTGTTTGCAACAATAATGTAACAAAACACTAACATACAAAATAACACTGGATAGCCAGATGTCTGAGTTTCTTTAAAGATGCTGACCTAAATAAATATAATAATACAGGTTAGCCAATCTGAACGTTAACTAAAGAACATGATAGCAAATCTAAAATTTCATCTAACAAAGACTTTAATGAAACTGAAGAATCCTAGCGGGGGTGAAACCATTTCAAAAGAAAGTAAGGTAACATGAGAACCCGGTATCAATAAATAAAAGTCCCCTCATCACAGGCGTTCCATAAAAAAGAAGCAGAGTTTCATCTGGAGCAACAGAGCAACAAACAGAGCAAAACATGAAAGTTTTTGCCACCTTATTGGTTTTGGTGAATTACTTCACCAGCTGCCAAGGTTAGTTTATTTTTACATGAAATTATGTTTTTTTTTTTTGTTTAATTAATCATTTAAATATTTTTTGGGTTCTTCTCCACAGGTTTGACCTGCAAAGCTGCTCCAATGCAGTTATTTGCAAACCAGCTTGATGCTAGCCAAGGGATGGTTGTTATGACTGACACATCCTCCAATGTCTTCTTCCTGAGTGGATCGAGTTGGACCAAACTGGGCTCTGTTCCCCTCAAGCATGTCTCAGTGGGACCTGCAGGAATCTGGGGAGTCAGCAATGATGACCAAGTCTATAAATTTTCTGGTGGCGATTTCTTTCCTGTTTCAGGTGAGTATATTTCCCAACAATATTTTCCAGGTTTATAACTGTTTCAATTTCCGTCGTTTAATAATGCAAATCTTTATATGTTCAGGTCAGAAGTTGAAGCAGTTGGATGCTGGTGGAGAAGGGCATGTAGTTGGGGTTACCGACAGCGACAGCATCCACTGTCTGGATGCCAGTAATGTCTCACCCACTCAGCAGCAGGGCAGTTTGAGTTGGATTACAGTGCCTGGGTTGCTGATGCATTTCAGTTGTGGTCCCAATACATGCTGGGGAGTGAACTCCAATCAAGATATCTACTTCATAGTAACAGTTGTTTCTTTTTATTCTTTTCCATCTTGTAATAATATCCACCTATCAGCTTTTCATTCCTTTTTCTTTTTTAGAAAATCTCACCCAACAGCTGTAAGACAAGTGAATGGACTAAAGTAGATGGAGCAGCGGTAAAGGCAGAAGTTGGGACTGATGGACGTGTCTTTGTTGTAAATAAAGCCGGAAACCTCTTTGAAAGGTAAAGTTTGAAAGGTTTCTGTTGTAAATATGCAGCACAGAGAATATACATGGTCATTCGTTATACATACACATTATACAAATAATCACGTTACTCTTTACAGAATTGGCATCTCTGACAAAACTCCAGGAGGTGCAAATTGGAAACTAATTGAATTCCAGAAGCCCATCAAATATGTGAGCTATGACCAGGGACGCCTGTGGATTGTGACTGAGTGTGAAATCATTCTAGAGTGCATTCAGTAATCAGCTGGAGGTCCCTGCATGATTCAATTTTTTCACATTATTTTGGGGCATATGCTTTATGATTCTGCTTTAAATGACTCTATGACAAGGAATAAATAGACGTTTAGAATAATTACTTACGTCAAATTACATTGGATAGCTGGGTCTTGTATTGATAAATGATTACGCTTCGTGTTGACACTTTAAGCTTTCACATTTAAAATATCAAAATCTTGTCCCAAGGAAATAATAAACTCTTTCCTTCATCAACCCTGTGTGCGCTCCTTTTTATCTGTTTCCGAGCGAAGTGGTTCTATTTATTTATTTTTTTAACAGTGTCCCGTCTGGCAATGTGGCATTAAGAATAATTGTCTTGATGCCAAAAAAAGATACCAACAGATTTTGCACTCACAAGTGGAGCAGTACGGCTATCGCCATAGTGTTTCGCTTGATTTTTGCATAAAAATAGCTTTATTGTAATTCATGCAGTGAGCATTATAGATTATACGGACACTGCGATGTAAATAGAACAGGAAAGGAGAAACTGAAAAAAGGAGAAACAATTAAAGAAAGAGGAGATAAAAGGTAGATAATGATAAAACATCTTCAGTCTGCTTCATCGCCTGCTCAGGGACCCAGAGTGGTAGTCTATGGGAGAGGGGGATTAAACTCACCACCCCAGGATTTAAAGCCCTATGCCCTAACCACTAGGCCACCACTCCCCCCCCTCACTCCACTAAGTGATTGAGCCGACCAAGGGAGCCCAGAGAGATCGGTGTGATGGGGATGCAGATTCTGTCTCAAGATTAAATTGATGCAATTAAAGATCTCCATACTGATTGATATTGAGTTTTTCCTTACTTATAGTTTACTTTGTGATACATAATGCAGTGAAAGCCATGCAAACTATTTTTCCCCAAACTAGATATATATACAGAATATATAGCTATATACAATACAAAACATACAATATACTATATATATAGCTATATACTGTATGCAAAGTAAAAATAAAGCAAACTGAAATAATTGGAAAATAATATTTATAATGCAATAAATGTTATTTGAATATATGGTCAAAAGAAAAGAAATAAAACTGTTAGGAAAAATGAAAAAGCAATGAATTTACTTCTAACAAATAAGATGGGGAAAAAATACAGCATTCCTGTAAATAAAAAAAATGACTGAATGTTCATTGTTTGAATAAAGAATAAAAGTATGCAGATAAAATATAATAACTGGAACAAAGATAAACATTTATATAAATAATTTTTATCACTTTATTTTAATCACTTTTTTTTGCATTTAAGGGCTCACTTTAAATTTCAAGCTATTCTTTCAGCACCAGATTATATTTATGAGCCATTAGTTTATTTATCATGTATCTTTAATTATCAGTCCTCCATGAAATCATCAGCCCGCCTCCAGAAGTGAAGAGAATGTGATCTGTAAAATGCTATTTGAAAAGATGGAAATCATAAAACTCAATCTCAAAAACTGAAATGTTCAAAACATTAAAAATCAAATAAAAATGGATTTCAAAAATAAAAAGAACAAATGATCCTAAAAAGTATTTTTATCAAGTTCAGATTGCATTTTTTTCTTTTTGAAAAATTTCCATTTACAAACCATGTTCTTTGTTTTTTAACAATAGCGTAACAAAACACTAACACACAAAATATCCAAAGATAACCAGAGGTCTGAGTTTCTATTATGAGGCTGCTGAGCTAAATAATATTAAAACTGGTCAGCTTATCGGAATACCTAATAGAGAACCTGATAGCAAATCTAAAATTTCATCTAACAAAGACTTTCGTGAAAATGAATAAGAACATTAGAGGGTGAAAACTGGCTATGGAGACAGGAAGGCAACAGGAGCACCTGGTGACAAAAGTATCATCACAGGTGTTTAATGACAAAGATGGAGTTTTTCATCTGGAGAGCCAATGATGATAAAGTCTAAACTTTCATTCGTTTTGATGAGTTTTATGTTTCGGAGCAATATTTTAAGGGTTTGACACTGATCCCATTTTCAATTATTTAGCAATACATTTCTTTGTGTCTGAAGTTGAACCAATTGGATCTGAATGCAAGCACTCAGCCGGGGGAGTTTTCGTTGGGGTCCAGAAAAATAAAGGTACACTCCGCAAACAGATAAAATGCCTTACCTGGCTCCAGGGATCTCTCCGTTTTCAGCTCTGTTAGGGTTAAACAGCTCAGAGTGCCAAGTCTTTTACAGTGCCTCTCCTTGGGGCAGTACTGAGGCCTGAGAGGACACAAGAGGGCGATGCTGTACAACAAATGCTACTCTTCCACAAAGCCAGTCAACAAGGGTCCCTATAATTTGACCAGAAATATTTAAGGCATGAAAGCTCAGTTTTAACTTGAATTGAGGACACTACACAACTTTTGTAGAGTTCACAAACTGCAAAGAGAGTAAATACAGAGCTTCCATCATGTGGAAGTGGAGGACTCATGCAGAAACTCACTGGTAGAAAGATTGCCATAAAAAAAAGTTATATAGGGGGAATCACAGATATTTTAAACAATGGATAGTCTCTCACAGTGGACATGCATCTATGACGACAATTCCAGACCCCTCCACAATATCCAAGTGGGAGAGCTTGCAAATACTTATTTTCCTCACTATAGATTGTATATTGGCCTAACTTGCCACAGTCTCATTCAAGTGCAATTGTGATCTCTACAGTGATTAGTTTGTCTGCTGAAGTGCAAAAGACATCTGCCTCCACAAATGCAAACCTACTCCTATGGAATCATAAATGGCAAGGCAAACATAAAAATTGAGACTCAGTTTATATTAGCATCAATATAGATTATATAATTTACATCAGTAAACTAATCACACACACTGTACCTTCAAGTATAAAAGTTAAAGTAATCAGTTTTTAAATGAATCACAAGTTTTGAAAGAATTTAATGATCAGTCTCCTGTCAAATTTTCCCTTTACATCTTTCACCTTGGTCTGATAGAACCACTTCACTCAGATAAGGAACATGCATGCTGTTGAAGAGTTTGTTTCCTTAATATTTAGATTTTTACATGTGAAAGTTTAAAGTGTGAACAAGTGCAATTTATCAATACAAGACCCAACTATCCAATGTAATTTGACAAATTCTAAAGATTTACTTTTATTCCTTGTTATGGAGTCATTTACAGCAGAATCATCAAGCATATGCCCCAAAAATAATGTGGGGGAAAAGAATTATGTCAAGTCTGGTTACTGAGTGCACTCTTGGATGGTTTCACACTCAGTCACAATCCACAGACGTCCCTCGTCATAGCTCATGCATTTGATGGGCTTCTTGAATTCAATGAGTTTCCAATATGCACCTCCTGGAGTATTGTCAGAGATACCAATTCTGTAGAGAGTAAGGTGATTATTTATAACAATGCATTGTCTCTGTGCTGCACATTTGCAACAGAAATCTGTCCAAACTTTACCTTTCAAAGAGGTTTCCGCCTTTATTTACAACAAAGACACGTCCATCAGTCCCAACTTCTGCCTTTACTGCTAATCCGTCTACTTTAGTCCATCCAGTTGTCCTACAGCTGTTGGGTGAAATTTTCTAAAAAAAAAAAAAAAAAAAAAAAAAAAAAAAAAAGAATGAATGAAAAGCTGATAGGTGAATATTATAACAAAATGGGAAATGGATATAAGAAAAACATAAAAACTGTTACTATGAAGAAGATATCTTGATTGGAGTTCACTCCCCAGCATGTATTGGGACCACAACTGAAATGCATCAGCAACCCAGGCACTGTAATCCAGTTTAAACTGCCCTGCTGCTGAGTGGGTGAGACATTAGTGGCATCCAGACAGTGGATGCTGTTGCTGTCGGTAACCCCAACTACATGCCCTTCTCCACCAGCATCCAACTGCTTCAACTTCTGACCTGAACACAAAGATTTGCATTATTAAACAACTGAAATTGAAACAGTTATAAACCTGGAAACTATTGTTCGGAAATAGACTCACCTGAAACAGGAAAGAAATCACCACCAGAAAATTTATAGACTTGGTCATCATTGCTGACTCCCCAGATTCCTGCAGGTCCCACTGAGACATGCTTGAGAGGAACAGAGCCCAGTTTGGTCCAACTTGATCCACTCAGGAAGAAGACATTGGAGGATGTGTCAGTCATAACAACCATCCCTTGGCTAGCATCAAGCTGGTTTGCAAATAATGGAATAGCAGCAGCTTTGCAGGTCAAACCTGTGGAAAAAGAACCCCAAAAATATTTAAACGATTAAACTTGGGGGGGAAGGAACTATTCATATAAAAATATACTAACCTTCACAGCTGGTAAAGTAATGAACCAAAACCAATAAGGTGGCAAAAACTTTCATGTTTCTGTATGTTGCTTTGTTGCTCCAGATCAAACTCTGCTTCTTCTTCATGGACGCCTGTGCTGATGGGTGTCAACAAGGGGATGAGGTTGCTTAAGGACCTAAAAGTTGAGATGAGTGAGGCAGAGGGGAGTTCTTGTGGATCTTATGAAGAAACTGCAGCAAACATACAAAACACAAAAATACTCAGAACCAAAAAAACAGCAAACATCAGGGGAAACTCACGTGAAGAGCCAGAGACAAGGAAGCAACCAACCATCGACAAGGAACTAGCAAACATTGACTGAACATGAGGTGTATAAATGGAGCCTGAACAAAGACCAGGCTAATCAGCAGATATGGAGCAGGTGTGGATGGAAGAGACCAGAAGGGGGCTAGGGGAAAGGAGACAGGCACAAGGGGGCGACAAAGAGCAGCCAAAGACTGCTTAAACATATATAAAATAGAAAATAAACCAAAGATCAACAAAATAGAATAACTGATAACTGAAAAGCAAAAACTCAAAGTCCCAAAAGGGGACTAATGTCTTCTGAAATGGTTTCCCCCCTCTAAGATTCTTATTCATTTTCATTAAAGTCTTTGTTAGATAAAATTTTAGATCTGCCAACAAGTTCTGTAAGTATTCAGATAAGCTGACCAGTTTTAATATCTTTATTTAGCTCAGCAGCATCATAATAGAAACTCAGACATCTGGCTATCTTGAGTTATTTTGTGTGTTAGTGCTTTGTCACATTATTGTTGTAAACAAAGAACACGCTTTGTAAACGGAAATTTTATCATAAAAAAAAAACGCAACGCAGAAATGAAACCTAGTATTCATCTCAAATTTTTATGAATTTTTAAATTTTATTTTTCTAATTTAATTTTTTATAT